GAAGAGAGTTCGAAGCGTGGGAAAAAAGATGGTGACCTCGTTCTTCGAAACAGAAAGAACAGGTCATTACGCAACAATTATTTTAGAGTATCGAAAAACAGTTACTACATAGTGGTACACTAACAATTGTTTGCCACTTGTCTTGGAAAAAGTTCGAGAGAAACGACCTCGTATTAGAATCCTCCTTCACCACGACAACGCCTCGTCGCACACCGCCAAGCAAACAATCGACTACTTGGCGACGTCAGACGTGGAATTACTAGGTCAGCCACCCCAACCTCGCACCTTGCGATTTTATTTATTTCTGAAAATAAAAGAGAAACTTCGAGGTAAACGTTTTATGGACGCCGAGGAAGCAGTGGCTGCGTTTCAAAATGCCGTCGAAGAGACCTCTAAGGACGAGTGGGCAAAATGCTTTTGCAAGTGGTTCCATCGGATGCAGCGATGTATTATTAAATTGACACAATTTTGAAAAGATATAATAAAACTAATAACTTGCTAGTTTGTTCAGTTTTTGATTTTCTAAGAACTTTCAGTGTCACCCTCGTATATCCTCCATCCATATTGAATAAAATTATCATAATATAAGATAACTTTAATCACTATTGTTAATATTATTTATTTAATAAATTTGTTAATTTATTAACTAAAATAAAAAATATAACTTTTGAGTTTGCATTCTATAATGTATTTTACCTCATTCTCTCGCAGGCTAAATGTTATAGTGTAAGAAATTATTTCACTTCTGATGTTGGAAATTATTCTCAAAATTATTTAAATAAAAGAACACTACTCGGTAACAATCGGTACTATCACGACCCAATTAAATGATAACCAACGGCATCACTACCCATCTCAATGTAACACAGACAATAGATATGTACAGGCTGTCCAGTGGCAGATTTCAAACTTTGAACAGACTTAATTTTCGAACGCAACGTAGGAGAACGGCGCGGAGGGGGTTATTCGACGTGCAAGCGATGCGGATTTTTCAGTAGCCATGGATCCGCGGAGTAGAGAGCACCGCGCTTTTGTCGTCGAGGTGTACTTTTCGAGTGGATTTTCGCTGTCTGAAGCCCGTCGTCGATTTAATAATCACTACGGTATTCGTCGAGTTCGTGATGGACCATCAATCAACCTGATTCAGTCTTGGGTAGCAAGGTTTTAGAGCAACGGGATCAACAATAAATAGACCCAGACCAAGACAAACACCAACGGTAGCCACGGACGAAAATGTCGAACGTGTTATGGCTTCTGTGATTGAAAATCCTCGTTTATCACTTCGAGCACGTTCATCGATTTTGGGTATTAGTAAATCAACTTTACAGGTAATAATGCGAAAAAAACTTAAATTACATCCTTATAAGATCCAAATCGTCCAAGATTTACTCGAATCTGACTTTGAATTAAGGAAAACTTACGCAGAGACGATGTTGTTGAGATTTAAAACTGCTACTCGGATGGGTAACATATTCTTCAGTGACGAAGCCCATTTCCATATCGGAGGATATGTAAATAAACAAAATTTTCGTTATTGGGATATTTCCAACCCGAGAAAATTGCATGAAGAGCCTTTACACAAACCAAAAGGCACAGTATGGTGTGCAATATCTGCGTCTGCCATAATAGGGCCTTATTTCTTCGAAAATGAACGTGCCCAAACTGTAACAGTAAATTCCGAGAGATATGCTGAGATGATCAGTGATTTTTTTAGACTAGAATTACAGAATAGTCCATACTGTAACCGGAATATGTGGTTCCAGCAAGATGGGGCCACAGCTCACAGTGCTAATGTGGCCATGAGTGCAGTGCGAGAGTTGTTTCCCGAAAAAATCATATCCCGGAACGGCACCATACCGTGGCCTCCCAGGTCACCAGACCTAAGTCCGTGTGACTTTTTCTTATGGGGATACTTAAATTCTATCGTTTACAAAACAAATCCGACCACAGTGACACAGCTGAAAGAAAACATTCGAGCAGAAATCAGCAAGATTCCCCAGTCGCTTTGTAAAAGAGTTTTCGAAAACATGCGTTCCAGACTCGAGGAGTGTGTTAGGGTCGATGGCCGCCATTTAGAAAACGTTGTTTTCAAAAAATAAAATCCGCCTTTATGTTCTTTATATTTTAATAAAAATACTTTGCATAAAACGTGTCGTTCTTTTTTTTATAATTTTTCAAACTTTGAAATCTGCCACTGGACATCCTGTATGTTTGTCTCTTTTTAACCCCCGATTCAAAAAGAGGGGTGTTATAAGTTTGACCGCTATGTGTGTGTGTCTGTCTGTCTGAGTCACCGTAGCTCTTAAATGGGTGAACCGATTTGGGACCAAGTTTTCTAGCGGTGGTTCTTAGATATGTTTCATTAAAATCGCTTCAGGCGTTTCAAGGTCATCAGCTGTTTTGTTAGCTGTGGTAGGATTCTCATCAGGGATTTTTAAAATTTTAAATTTCAGTTATTATTAATGTCACTTTTTCATTTTATCGCGTTTCAAATCACAACGATTCTAAACATAGAGTAATTGCATATATATGCTTGTATTTACTTTGAGATTTTTAAGTTTTCACTTCACAAGGATGAAATTTAAATTACGTAATGTGATATTTAATTCATCATTGTATAGCAACACATATAGTATATACATACGATTATAGTATAAACTGATAATTTAAATTTCGTTTAAAAGGCGAACATACACACCATATTGTTTTACATAAAATTACATGCCAACATACAGTCCAGCCACTTACGCTAAAACACTTTCTTTATCGTGAACGTGAGGGAGCAAGCCTTATTAAAAATGAATTAAGCACTTTTGCTTAGTAGCATGTGCTGCTTTCAATATTCAGTTACATACTACTTTAATTGCGCAGAGTGCTTTTATGCTGCAAATTAGACCTGATATAAAACTACAAATAGCGTGATCAAAAAAAGCTCTTATAAAAAGAATATAGTTAGAAGCCATACAACTCGAAGAACCGGCAACCAATGGGGGAGAAATGTTCTCGAGTGGCAGCCTCCTACCCGTGAGTTATTTACGGTATCAGTTATTTACATACTAGAATCATGCTGCAACTATATTATGGTTGTAGCATTAATGAGTCAGCTCGACCGTGGAAGGACTATGCTCTCACAGAATACCAGCGTGGAATAACAGCTGAATGTTGCTGTGTTTCCTATGGTGAGTGTAAGGAACCGGAGACCCTTTTTACTGGATACGAGCGATTCCACTTTAGTCCTCAGGGGTGACAATGCATCCGCATTTTGATTCTTAATCGAGGATAAATGTAAATGTCTATAGGCCACAGTATCCACTAACCATCAGGGACTTTGTGCTCGCACTTGTGACCTTTATTCTATAAAAAAGCGAAGTGTAAGGCGGTCCTCCACTAGATGGTGTGACGACCTGATAAGAGATGCAGGTAGTCAATGGATGTAGGCGTTGTACTTTGTGATATCTCAACTGAGAGTAGTAATCTGCACAGGATAGGATTATAGTGAACTTGTGAGTCCGATGGGATGGCAATCTGAAACGACTGAAGGAAAAATAGGTGCAGCACCAAACGACTTAACGTACTTCCCAAAGCACGAGAATGAAACACCGGCAACTTCCTGACTCCGGGCTGCTACTGAGTTTCTTGACAGAAAATCTATGAAAAATGGTTTTGGATTTGGATCAGTCAGCATTTGAACAGAAGTCGCGCCTACGACAGCTAGACCATAGTATAGTATCTATATATATACACAGCCATTCCGAAGATTAGTCTGGACAGACAGCCAATATAGACAAGACAGATGAAAACCTCCCATCGTATGGTATTTACGTCAATAAACGTTAGAATATATTTATTTAAAAATTATGTTTTTATTCTGAGTGCTGGTCTTGATATAATCTTCTCCATTGAATACATTTGTTTTATAAATATCCTCTTTGCAAACATTAGAAATTTATGTTAAAGAGTACCTAGTTGGGAATACGAAGTTATCACTGAAGAATATACCACCTTGTTTATTCGAGATATTCAAAAGCTGGCTTTATTAAGAACGTTGAACGTGGAATCAAAATTTTTATTTCCAACTTAATTAAATTACTTAAGACGAAAGAATGTGGAATGAATTTATAATAGTGTGTGATAAAATATTTTTATTCTCATCAATAAACGTATTTATTTACATAAATAATATTAAACATCTTTTATTTTATATATTATATTTGAAAGGTGTCTAATATATTTAATGTATATACTAGTAACTAGCTGAACCCGGCAGACGTTGTCCTACCAGTTAATATCATAGGTTGTGTTCAGAAAGGTTTTTTTTTTGTTTTATCGCATGCAATTTATATTAATAATTGCCGCATTTGATTGAAAAAAAAAGCAAATAATATCAAAAAATTTATATGTTTTTGTTTCTTAATTTTTTATTTTTTTTTTAGTTTATAATTATAAACCGTCTCCATTGAAAAATATTGTTACGAGCTTGAGGTTCGAGACAATTAAAAACTGCCGATTTCATTACCAAAATTGACACTTTAATTACACAACATTAATTACAATCTAAAATCACACTAATAATAAAACACACTTCGCCATTATTTCGCTTCGAAGTATTCTCTTGTATCGCCAATTCAATAATGCCTCGGTCGTGGTCTATACCGGCCTTATATAGGGCCTCAGATAGTTTCCAGAATCTTCTACTGTAGCGACATCTAGAATGTTCGAGTACATATCGGTCCCGAAATTTCTGGAAGGATCTTGACTCTCCTAGTTCTTCTACTCGGCACTAGAGGGCGCTAGTGTAACTAGTGTTGCCATATATAAGACATTAATAGTGGCGCGCAACACTGCCCCCTCCTAAGACTTGCTCGTCTCGAGCATTATTGGTCCCATAATAACGCGCCAGTCGATCCACATGGACGATCTTAGGAGTACCTCTGGCACCTTTCTGTATCCGGTAGGTTACGTCATTGATCCTTGTCACAATCCGGTACGGTCCGTCCCATTTAGCTTGAAGCTCGCAGCAAAGGAGATTTCCCTTTGCTGCGAGCTGGATTATGTAACCACACTAGTGAACCTTCGTCAAACCCTTTGTTGTTCATTTTGCGGTCATACCGTGTTTTCATCTTCTCAGACGTTTGCTGGCCCGAATATCTGACGTGCTCATAAATGTCATTCATTTTTTTCCGCAAGTCATTTGCATAATCGGTTATACTGCGTGGGGCATCAGGTGGTATTCCGGTGATCAGGTCTGCAGGCAGCCGTAATTCTCTCCCAAAGTTTGCGAAAACTGGCGTCACTGATGTACTTTCGTGAACAGCGCTTCGATATGACAACAAAAACGGTTGTATGTGCCTGTCCCAGTCTCGTTGCCGTTTTTCCACAACTTTTGCCAGGTACTTTTCCAATGTCTGATTAAATCGTTCTACCATTCCATCAGATTGTGGGTGGTAAGAAGTTGTTCGTGTTTTATGAGTACCCATAACTCTGCAAGTTTCCTGGAATATTTGAGACTCGAAATTCCTTCCTTGATCGCTGTGAATCTCTAAGGGTACTCCAAAACGACAGAAGACTTCATGAACTAGTTTATCTGCAACTGTTGAAGCTTCTTGATTTGGAATGGCGAAGACTTCTGGCCACTTATTGAAGTAATCCATCACAACCATGAAATACTTGCTACCACTTTCACTTTCCGGAAACGGCCCCGCAACGTCAATGGCTATCCTCTCCCATGGTGCACCAACATTGTACAATTTCAATGCACCTCTACTACGAGGTTCCTTTACAGCCGCACTACTTGTACATTTGCGGCACCAGAGCTCGACATCGTCACGACAGTGGACCCAGTAAAACCGTTCTCGGATCTTCGGTAGAGTTCGTTTAACTCCCAGGTGGCCTCCTGAACAACCACCATGGTACAGCTGTAGAACATCCGCTACTTTAGCCTTAGGGATAACCATTTGCAAATGACAACTGTCTCCCCGACCATTTTCCCATTTACGGCACAGGACTCCATCCTAAATCAGCAAGCTGTCCCATTGGGCCCAATAGCTTTTCGTGGTCGAGCTCATTGCTGAGACGTCGCTCCACTTGGGCTTAGGAGCACTGGCCTTCATCCATTCCAGAATCGGCTTCCTGCTGTGCATGTTGTAGTCTGTCCTTCCACTCATTGCTGAGCTGGTCTGTCCTGATCATCCTCACAGATACCACTTCCTTACCCTCTTACCTAGTACAATGCTTGCAATCTTCAGGACACGGTCTTCTTAACAATGCATCTGCGTTGTCATGAGATTTTCCGCTGCGCTGGGCGGTGCTGTTAGCCGCACTATCCTCTCGAGATCGATCACCTTCCCTTTCTTCAGTTCACTTAGGGCAGCTGAATTGAAGATGGCCCATCTCCCCACAGCCGTAGCATCTAGGCCTGTATCCTTTACTGCGGTCACGAACTGTAGCTGCTGCAACCTCCCTAACGCGATAGGAACGATGATCCTGTCGCACGGCTTCCACCTCCAGTGCATGGGCCAACGCGTCCTTAAGCGTCTCGTGGTGCCCAAGCCTCACAGCAGCTCTAACAATATGTATATATACCAATTTTCATCGTGATCCATCAAATAGATTTTGAGTTAAACGATTTCATATATACAAACATCCTCTTTTATATGTATTGTCATAATATATTAAATAAAATACATTTACAATAGCCATAAAATATTTATTGCAGTAAAAGTATTATTGATAAAATATGCCAACCCAAACGTGTGTCGTCGCGTGGGTGCCAAAAATGGCGACTGTTTTAAATACTAGAAAGACTTTACAATCTCGATGGCGGATTGCTATAGATTGGCAACGGGGAGTGATAATCACGTAATTGCAATCAAAAAGAATAAGCCATTCTTAAATTCAACAAATCCGCCCTATAACGGGTAAGAAACAATAAAACTAATAATTTAAAATATATTTATTGCACAATTTAGTGCAGGCGCTTTACTGCTCCAAGCAGGTTTAGAAAAAGAGAAGGTTTTCTTTTTTATAGTTTGTATATTCACCAAAAGAAATGTCACCAATCACAACATGCTTAAAACGTTTCTTATAGACGTGAAAATCATTAATGATAATGATAAATGAGACATAGTGTAAGTAGGCAGCTACTTTATTTCTTCTTTCAATGAGTATTATGTAATAATGTATATTGAATAAAAATTATTCTATTATATTCTATAGAATAAGGGTAACAATCGAGCACACAGTTCACCTGTAGGTAAGTGGATACTGTGGCCCATAGATATGGTATTCTGTGAGACCCCGGTCGAGCCGACCCATTCGTGTTGCAACTGCAACCACAATATAGCTGCAACATGGCTCTACCACGTATATATATACAGGGTTATTGTGCAATAACCGAACAATTTTGTGTTTATGTGTGTGTTATTGTGCAATAAGCGAATGGTGAAAAAAATTAACAAGAAAAAACTCATAATTTTTATCCTCATTAATGATTTCTTATATTTACGCGAAAACTACACAATGAATAAAACTATTTTTACGGATTTTTTGCGATTAATTAACTTATTTTATATTAACTAACTGTGTCTTGAAGTCTTACAGTGGTATGCTTTGGTTTATTTTTAATTTTATGAATTACATGATCCCAAGCAGGTGGTAGTACCCAGCCTCCCTCTCTATTGAAATTAGGATGATTTTTAATTTCAATAGCTTCACGTATCATCCTTGGCAGGAATCGATGTTCTTTCGCGAGAATTTGTGGTTCATCTAATCTAATGTAATGGCGGTTGCCATCTAGGTGCAACCCACACGCTGTAAAAGATAGTTCTCATCAAGTGCGATTTAGTGTAAATGTTTGAGCCCGAATTATTGATAACATAATTGTGGGCCCGTACTTCATTGAAAGTCGATTAATGGATGGTAATTATTTGGACATGTTACGAAGTGTTATTCAAAATTTCTTGGACAATATACCCCTAGCGAATACGAAGATAGGTGTATTGGGCGTGGCAGCCCTATACTATGGCCTGCAAGGTCACTGAACCTTACAACATTAGACTTTTATTTATGGGATGAAATAAAGAGACACGTTTATATCAAAGAGGCTCAAAACTATGACGACCTCCGCAGCAATGTTAATTAAAAATTAAAATAATTGCTGCATTCACGGAAGTGTCAAGTGCTCATACACACGTAATTAATGTGAAAAATAATTTAAAGAAACGCGCTTAACTATGCATTATGTGAAACGGACTCCATTTTCAACACTTATTAAAATACCAGTAAGTTTTATTTTAAGTGATTGCATATTTAATATGTAAATATTTCGTTTTTATAAAATATTAATCGTTTTAAATTGTTATAAATACTTGATTCCAATTTTTAAATACGCCATAATAGAGGTAGTCATCGGTTACGTCTGTAATACAACAATATACAACAACAACATACAATTTTTGTCAGTTTGGAATATGTTTATTGAACAGCGTACGCGCCGACGCGATATTCGTATCGGTTGAGGTCGGCAATGCTCGGCACCATTCCAGTGCCTTCGTTGTCGTCCGGGCGACTTCGTTTTTAGCGGCCAGCACCAGGCACCAGCTAGCAGCTAGTCAGCTTTTAAAAGCCTTCAGAGCTAGACGCTATGTTCGCACGCCTGAGTCACCATTATTTAAATCGCGCCAACCTATCATTGGCTTTCCAACTCAACTATCTCTTCTACAACCAATTGTTTACATTTTTTCTCCACCTCTTTTCCTCCCTCTGTAGTCTAAGCTTGTATTTCGAAAGGTCTTTTGTGTGGGAATAAAAATATTATTTAATTCGAGATGTGCAGAACTTTTTATTTGCATAGCGTCTATTCCAGTCATCAATCAAATGTATTTTTATTTTTTTCGTTTATTATGACTGTCCTTAGCCCGTTTAAATTATGAAGAGAAAATTGAAATCATAACTCGCTTCGTAGTTATCAACTTAGTAGCGAGCGTGTCATTAAGGAAGTAAATAGTAGGCAAAAGCTCCGTGCATTGACTCGTACACACACGAGCGCGTGTCGTTGTTGCCCATAAATCACATTCAATTTCGGACATTTTCAAATATATAAGTATTTATATTTTAAAATTAATTCTTAAATTTGGCTGGTCTTTGAAAACAAATATATATAGTGTATATATTAAATAATATATATTATATATATAATCTATAGAGATATTTTTAAATGAAAAATGGATAAAATAAATGGTCTTTGATTGTCTTTAATCTAAATAACTCCACATTAACAGATCCGACCCAGGAGAAGCTAGAGCACGTCGCTAGTAATAAATAATAAACAAGCCAGAAACATTTATTATTTATTTCATTCTTAAAGAAAACTAGCAAAGCAACTCGAGCAGAAGTAACACCTTTTAGTCACGATAACGACATGTCAAAGGCTAGTGCACCTTTATCGAAGTTTCTTTGTCGTAGACACAATAAGGCAACTTCGCTTATTGAAAGTGGACATACGGCTATTACTTTGTATCTGTAGAAACAAATTGTGACGTACAATAATTGGATACGAAGTAATTGCTAAATCTTTTTGTTACTATCGTTATTACTTTTAATTTGAAATATTTGATTAACATTAATTATATTACAGTAATTTTATGGATATCATGTTTAAGTAATCTTAATTTTATATCATAACTTATATTAGAGATGATAATCATAATTAATCTAAGAAAGATTATTAATGTATGAAGTAGTATTAGATAATTTATAAGTGATCTAACAAATGGAATTATATAAACATTAATATTAGATCTACAGAAAATCCCGTTGGTATGATAGAGCACAGGAATTTTGCAGTTATTTCGCTATGCATTGGTTTAAATATATTTTGAATCATTTACGTCAAGATTTTGCGATATGGACTATTTATATTAGTATATAATATGTTATTATGTAGCGTAATAAGTTACAAAATATTGTTTATTATAACCAATAGAACCTGCTCCTTCTACGCCGAATTCATTTTCACACAAAATGACACACTCGTTATGTATACGGTGAAATCCTCAACCGACCCTTGAATTATTAATTGATGCAGCCACAAGAAACTATCACCACTGAATATAATACTCCAATCAGTAAAGTTAATTAAACGAAGTAATTATAAACATCATCTTTATTTGGCTAACAGATAGGTTGTTACCCTTACATCATGATAATTCGAGGCTACACATTTCAAAGACAACACAAATTTAAATGATATGAACAAAAATGGGAAATCATCACTGGTCCTTCTTACTTTTAAGATATTGCTTCTTTAGTTTTTACTTTTCATTCACTGAGCTCATATATAAAAGAAAAAAAAAACAAATTGATGGGAAGGTTAGCGGTTGAAGATTTTTCGACGTCACGAAATAAACCGTTCTATTGAGATGATATCTGTGAACTAGTAGATAGTTTTTTTTTTATAGAATAAGGGTTACAAACGAGCCCACAGTCCACCTGATGGTAAGTAGATGCTGTGGCCCACAAACATCTACATGTATCCTCAATTAATAATCAAAATGCAGATGCGTAGCCAACCCTGAGGACTGAGATGGAGTGCCTCGTTTCCAGTAAAAAGGGTCTCCGGTTCTCTACACTCACCATACGAAATACAGCAGCATTGAGTTGCTATTTTACGCTGGTATTCTGCGAGAGCGTGGTCCTAACCCAGTTGAGCCGACCCATTCATTCTGCAACCACAATATAGCTACAGCATGGCTCTACCACGTAAGAAAAGATTGAAGAAGATTAGAAAACCAGGGGGAATACCATAGAAATCTGTAATACATACACAATATAGTATTCTATACCAACTACAGTATTATGTAAACCTGAGCTGGGCTGCTTGTCAGTTTTTGTAAGTCCACATCTTGGTAGTCCTAACCCGATAATATATTTTTTTAATTTTGTTAAATAAATAACC